TGTTTGGTGGGAAACACTTGAAGAACAGCCGTCTTTTTGATTATCTATCAATAAATAATGAGATTATGAGCCATTTGTACTTATAAACGTATTCCACAGCATCATTTGTCTTATTACATAACATTTTTGTAGTAACACTAATCAGTATTCGGCATACAGTAAATTACGGGTTTATCCTTGCTTCCTTTAAGACGTTCCTGTGAAACGTTTCTTTGTTGAAGCGCGAATCTACACAATAGGGAATCTAACCTCAAATTTTAGCGTTGTAAGTCCGTAAAAGATTCATTATTTTTGGAAGTAATTGTTTTGTTTTGTTTTTGAATTTCGCGCAAAGCTACACGAGGGCTATCTGCGCTAGCCGTCCCTAATTTAGCAGTGTAAGACTAGAGGGAAGGCAGCTAGTCATCACCACCCACCGCCAACTCTTGGGCTACTCTTTTACCAACTTGGAAGTAATAATCGATAATCACGGTGACTTGACTACGAATTTGAAGTAGTACCTATCATTTGGCTAGCACGAGGTCAGTTTTTTAAGTGACTGTTAAATGTGAAGTAAATATTTCATTGCTGTTGATGAAAAAAGTGTCTTAACCACCCGCACCCCTATACAGTAGTGGGTTGTCTGTCAGGCAGTCAGTAGACACTAAAATTACGTTACATAAGGGACGCTAACGTTGTAATTTGAACTGTTGTGACGTCAGTAAAACGTGCGCATGCCATGAATCGCGAGAAGAATTATGTACTCTGTAGACTAAAACACAGTATAACACATATGAACTTCAAAAGCAAGAAATAATAAATATTTGTTACTCTTGAAACAAAAAACCTTTGGGGACACTGCGGAAGTACATCTAGTACATATATATATATATATCGAACACTCTTACGATCAACGTGATTTTTCTGTATAAAACTTTTCAAAGCTACATTGTTTATTATTCACTGTTACCAAATCAGAAATAAACCTCGTTGGAATCATCCGTGATTGTGTAAGTGATAGCTAATGACGATTGATTGTTTTTTGTCAAATTTAGAATGTTAAGCTCTTTAATTCCCTTGTTTGTTGTCCCCCGGCGGGGCAGTGGTAAGTCTACGGAGGATCACAACGCTAAAATCCCAAATTTTCTGTGTGAAGTTTAAATATTCAACCAGTCGTACGTCTTTAGACTAGTTTAACATCTCTTAAATTTTAACAAGTAATCTTAAAACTTTTATAGATAATTCCAATAAAATGAAATTAAGCCTAAAGTTGAGTATTGCAGGGATTAACATCGGTTATTACTTTCCTCCTGATCACATGCTGTTTCTTGTTACAACATCCAGCTGTTCCGACTTAGACGATTTGGTTTTTTTAAAAGAACCAGTGTAAGTCGTATCAGCCTCATATCCAATGGTTAAGTAGAATAGTACAATATAAAATGTATCGTAGTTAATAAAACACATCAAAGAGTTTGAAGATTCCAGTTTCGTAATTTGTCTAAGAAGAGTCTCTGTTACGTAAGGCGCTTGCGTTGTTGAGCGCCCTCAAACATGGAAATGTGTCTTATTTTTTCTAAGTAATTTTCAGGAGCTTGAAATAGACAACGAAGCCAAAGGCAGTATTAGCGTCATTATAACAGACAAGTTATAATGGCACATCATGCTTTTGTGTAGAATATTAATGATAAATTAAGACTTCCTATGCCAAACTTGCCACTACCTCAGTAATCCGTACTCTTTTATACATTTGGTGTTCTTCAAATAGCTAACGATATCTTTCTTAAGAACTACTTAAAATTACAATCACGTGAAAAAAAAATACAAAATGAAATATAGCAACTAGGTCACATTTCATAACCGTAATTCAAACTATTCAAAGTATAAAGCAGCAGTATTTCCTATTAAATATTTTGGAAGCAAAAGTTAATCTAATTTTAAATAAAGTTATCATATAATTATCAAAAGACCATAGCAGACTTTTCTGGTTATAAAGTGGATGATTATACAGCAGCGCTACCTGGATTTCAGTACCTTCTCGTTAAATATATGAACACTGAAAGCAATTTACCTTTTAGTCGTACATAAAAAAGAAGGTTAATATATCAAATACTTTTTTTTTGGCAACCCTAGTTTGATCCAACATTAAAACGGTTAATTTTCACAGGTACGGCCTCTAGTGACTACCTTCCTATTACCACAAGTTATCATCATCAGATTTTTGAAAATGGTTCACTCGTTATCCAAGATGTAACGAAAGAAGACGAAGGCTACTACTTGTGCCAAGCCACGAACGGAATTGGTTCAGAAGTGAGTGGAGTTGTTCTGTTAACAGTGCATGGTAAGTCAACTGTGGAGTTGTTCTGTTAACAGTGCATGGCAAGTCAACTGTGGAGTTGTTCTGTTAACAGTGCATGGTAAGTCAACTGTGGAGTTGTTCTGTTAACAGTGCATGGTAAGTCAACTGTGGAGTTGTTCTGTTAACAGTGCATGGTAAGTCAACTGTGGAGTTGTTCTGTTAACAGTGCATGGTAAGTCAACTGTGGAGTTGTTCTGTTAACAGTGCATGGTAAGTCAACTGTGGAGTTGTTCTGTTAACAGTGCATGGTAAGTCAACTGTGGAGTTGTTCTGTTAACAGTGCATGGTAAGTCAACTGTGGAGTTGTTCTGTTAACAGTGCATGGTAAGTCAACTGTGGAGTTGTTCTGTTAACAGTGCATGGTAAGTCAACTGTCGATTTGTTCTGTTAACAATGCATGGTAAGTCAACTGTGGAGTTGTTCAGTTAACAGTGCATGGTAAGTCAACTGTGGATTTGATCTGTTAACAGTGCATGGTAAGTCAACTGTGGATTTGTTCTGTTAACAGTGCATGGTTAACAGTTCTATTAACAGTGCAAGCAATAATCGTGTAATCAAACTTTATCTGAATGTTCATCCAGAATATTTTTCTTTTAGCGTTTTAATTATCCTTTATTTAATATGACGAATGGATAACTGACATTATCGTTTTGAAGATCCTTTATCTGACTTGTTGAGACGGTTCTGTACGTTTAAGATTATCAGACTTGATGAGTTGGACCATTATATTCAAGATTATCAGACTTGTTGAATTAGTCCAGTACAATTAAGATTATCAGACTTGATAAGTTGGACCATTATTTTTAAGATTATCAGACTTGTTAAATTAGTTCAGCAGATTTAATATTATGAGAGTTGTTGAATTAGCTCAGCACATTATCAGACTTGTTAAATCAGTCCAGCATATTTAATATTATCAGACTTGTTGAATTAGTCCAGTTCAATCAAGATTGTCAGACTTGTTGAATTAGTCCAGTACAATTAAGCTTATCAGACTTGTTGAATTAGTCCAGTACAATCAAGATAATCAGACCTGTTGAATTAGTCCAGTACAATTAAGCTTATCAGACTTGCTGAGTTGGCTCCGTAACATTTTAGACTATCAGACGTTTTTGAGTTGAACCAGTACAATTATGATTACCAGACTTGTTGAGCCGGACAAGTACATATCAATTTCAGAAGAATGTTTTAACTTAAGAGACTTTATGTGAGTTATCAGAATGTATTATTGTGTACAGTTACTCGTGTTGTCCCCTGTATAGCTAGGATATTGACCTTTGCAGTCACAAATCTAATGAGCGTTTAATCTAAAACTCAGTAAAGAGTCACAAAATAACGCTGTTCCATTTCAGTTACGTTCATCGTATGGAATGCAAATGAATTTTGAAAAAGGTTATATGATGGGGAATCGTAATACTTCACCGTTTAATAATATACATGTATGTAAACTTACAGCTGATCCACAAGGTCGTTTAGCCGAAGTGTCGCACATGTTGTCGTTAAAGTTAAAAACACAAAACATAGAAATAACCCATCGATACTAACATATTATGAGAACCGACAAGAAACTCTGACAAAATTCAGCCACTTCCGGTGCTAGACTTTTATAGTTTCTTTAAGTTACCCCTTTATCCTAGGCGAATTTATTTTCGTTTTTAACGTGTTTGTTTGTTTCAGGTTTTTCGTGCAAAGCTGCACATATTGATACAATAAAGAGAAACCAGCTATTCAAAAGCACCCTCTGCCAACTGAACCCTGGAATTCAGAATCCGGGTACCCTCCCATATATTAAAACCACGCTGGCCCATTTTCATATGTATACTAGAAGTAAGGCTGTCCCAAATCGACTTCTGTTAAAGCGATGTTATGTTTTAAAAACATGCCTTATTCAAAAACACTCGTGTTTCTAAGTAAAAACAAATCGTGTTGGCGATGTTTCGATTAAATTTTGAATACTTGAATCTCCATTATAAGCAGGTCAAATGTCAAATTGTATTTGAGGTTTTTCAGGGAATAATTAATAAAAAACATGCTCTATTTCAGTTGCTCCCCAATTTCGCAACAGATTCCAGACTCGAATAGTCCAGAAGAACGAATCTGTTATCCTGGACTGTAGCGTAACAGGAGACTATCCAATCAAAATGACTTGGTCACGTGATAAACAACCAATTGCGTTTGACTTTGAACCCAGGTGAGTAGAATAAGTGTTGTTGTGGTTTGAAGTTAAGCACAAAGCTACACAATGAGCTATCTGTGCTCCGCCCACCACGGGTATTGCAACCCGGTTTCTAGCGTTGTAAGTCCTCAGAACAATGGGCTATCTGGGCTCTGCCCACTGCGGGTATTGAAACCCGGCTTTTAGCGTTGTAAGTCCTCAGAACAATAGGCTATCTGGGCTCTGCCCACTACGGGTATCGAAACCCGGTTTTAAGCGTTGTAAGTCCTCAGACGTATCGCTGTGCCGCTGGGGGACAAGAAGTATTGAAAAATTACTTTTATGATTTTATACAACAAAACATTTTACGAGATCGCTTTTGTTGTGGATTAGTTGGTAATTTACAAAATTTTATGAAAATTGTGACTCGTTTTCTTAGCTGACCTTCAATCATAAAATATTCTTTGATTTGTTGCGTTCAAATATGTTTCTCGTCTTTAATAGTTTGCTTTAGATTTGTTAAGGGAAAACATTCGGACAAGTAGCTTTTTTGCAAATGTCGGTAAGGAAAAGATTCCCTTGTCGAAACGTTGTACATTTGTTGTTATGTTAAACTCATATTAAAGTTTTTCTTCATTACCCATTCAAGCCGTCTCCAGCCATTAAAAGATTTTTTAATTGCAATTTTTATTAGAGTTCACCTTTCGCATGAGGTTAAAGTTCAATGAAACATTTAGAAAAAAAAACGATCAAAGAATTGTGAAGCTTCAAAATCTTAAAAAAAAATATAGACATTTAAAAAACACTATTTATGAACAGTTCATAAGTGTAACAATTTTGTTTTGATGTACAAGTAAAAGTAACAGAATAATTCCCCTAATGAAAACTTTAAGATTATTCTCACAGCCGTAGGACTAATTGGCTATTCAATTTTTCCTTCTTCAGGATACGAATAAAAGAAGAGACTTCTGATGGAATGTTAATGTCGCAAGTGACTGTTATTTCTACTAGCAGAAGCGACTCAGCGCTGTATACTTGCAAAGCTATTAACGCCTTCGGGTCGGATGAGTCTAATATACAGTTAATCATACAAGGTAAGTGTTGTCAGAGTGTTAATAAATGATATTCCCTTATATTGTGTTAAACATTGTCCATACAGCTGAAAGACGTTCTTTGATATTGTAAATTTCCGCTTAGGGAAAGTCAAGGCAAAAACAAAATTGCGTTTCGGAACTTTATATGTAAGTTGTGCCATCTGTTGAACGATTTATACAAACTGAATTCAATTTTGTGTGATTGTTTAACGATAACATGCACTTTTTTGATGGTTTTCGTATGAATTTGTCAATAAATCCAACATTAACTTACAACAGCATTAGTGTAAAACTCAAAAGTGAAAGTATTGTTCACAAATTTTGGTTACAAAAAGTAATTCTTTCTGTGAATCAATTCTCTTATCGACTCTTATGGCACATAGAGAAACTCGTTCAGTGAAGCAGTTCTCTTATCGACTCCTGTGGCACATAGAGAAACTTATTCAGTGAAACAATTCTCTTATCGACTCCTGTGGCACATAGAGAAACTCATTCATGAAGCAGTTCTCTTATCGACTCCTGTGGCACATAGAGAAACTCGTTCAGTGAATCAATTCTCTTATCGACTCTTGTGGCACATAGAGAAACTCATTCAGTGAATCAATTCTCTTATCGACTCTTGTGGCACATAGAGAAACTCATTCAGTGAAACAATTCTCTTATCGACTCCTGTGGCACATAGAGAAACTCATTCAGTGAATCAGTTCTCTTATCGACTCCTGTGGCACATAGAGAAACTCGTTCAGTGAATCAATTCTCTTATCGACTCCTGTGGCACATAGAGAAATTCATTCAGTGAAGCAGTTCTCTTATCGACTCCTGTGGCACATAGAGAAACTCGTTCAGTGAAACAGTCTCTTATCGACTCCTGTGGCACATAGAGAAACTCATTCAGTGAAACAGTCTCTTATCGACTCCTGTGGCACATAGAGAAACTCATTCATG